CCGCCACAGCATCCCCCCATTTGTGGCATTTTCTGTTGGTGGGCAGCCGTACCAACACCCACCCTGCCCTGATCTAGCTCACGTGGTGATCCGGCGCATCTCCCGCGTGGCCTGTTTAGGAAGCAAACAAGTCTGCTACATGGAGTAGGGATCAGCAGGTCACATGTGACACGCGTAGATAGGTTGGTTAACCTTGTCAACCACTGCGCCCGCACCCACCTCTGCTCGTCTCTGACGCTATGTTGGCATCTAAGTAAGGCGAAAGAGGGTACAAAAAGAGCTAATGGTCTGATAGACGTCGTGCAAGACTGCCTATAATTAACACCGTCGCCGACGCGCCCACTCCGTGGGGCACACGGTGGAAGTTGTCAGTCATGAACTGTCGAGCTGTAAAGCATATCTATAAAAATGTTTTGTGCAGGTTGCCAATACAAGCGAACATGCGAGTCCCAGGGAGTAATTGAAAAGAGAAAGACTCGATCGCTGGGACAAAACTTTATGTCCGTCACAAACGCAGTTACGTCAGGACGCGGTATCGGCGTGTTGAGACGCACTGCAGTGAACCAGAAGGCAAATTTGCCGAAATACAATATCTTCGATGAGTGTTCAGTGAAAATGGCTACCCGCACAACTTCTTTAACCGGTGCTTGTGCAAATGAGGTGGAAAACAAAATCGGACCGACCCCAAATTTTAGCAAGCAATCCCGTACTTCCAAAACGTCTCGGAGGCCGCCGGCCGCCCTCTCACATCACCTAGAGTTTGAGCCGCACACAGGCCGGAGGTAACCACAAGGCGTCAGATACTGAAACCGAAAGACCCACTGTCACAGCAAGAAGCATCCGGAGTCAGCTATAGGATCTGGTGCAGTTCCGGACAAAGCAACTACATCGGAGAAACTGGAAGAATTCTCAAGACGCGAATTGTCGAGCACGCGGCAGCAGTGCGGCGAAATGATGCCAATTATCGAGTTGCGGCTCATTCGATGAGACCCAGCCACACATTCAAATTTGATGGGACCGAGATTCTCGCAAGAGGTGATAATCACGTGAGTCACGGCTCATGGGCCCCTAGTCCATAAACAAGTGCAACGACTTGCGCAATCCATATTCGGTGCTGAGGCTCAATTCGGCCAAGGCAAGTGGCCACTTGGGGAACGCACCGGCAACCGCGTCTTCTTACGGCAACAGCGGGGAACCATATGGCTGATTAACATCACCTCCAATTCCACCACGCGTGATGTAAGTTCAGCAGGTCACGGCCCGCATGCCGGTCATCAAGCAATCATCGCACAAGAGAGCAATTGTCGTTAATTGTCATACGTATACAGTAATGACTGTATCACATAAATGCTACAACTTCCCGTGCATATATCATCTGCTTCTGCTATTATTTTCTGCTGATGCTTCTGATGAAGAATCCGCGACGGAGGCCGAAACGTCAGGCGAATAAAAGTGTTGTCCCAGCCATCAAATTTTCTTCTCATTTATGCAGGTTACTAAATAGCACTATAAAAAAAGCCTTTTGTTGCTCGCTCGGAAATTTTTTGTGCTGTGATTTGACAGACTATCCCTTACTCGTGTCGCAGCAGCACCTCTTATAGAACTGACGATTGGTAGACAACTGAAAGAACCTGTCGGTCACAAGTTAACCAGAAAGAATCTAAAACGTGCCCAAGGCGCTATTCATTCAAAAAACAGTAGGCCACACCTTACGAAGTACAAAAAGATAAAACCAGGCATATGATGCCATCAGCAGTGTAGGTAGGGCAGTTTCTGCTGACGAACAAAGACAGAATCAAGACTACGTCTAACATCTAATGGCAGACGTCTCAACTACCCAGTTTCGGTGTCTACGTGATCTCTCGTGAAGACTC